AGGTCAAGTCATAAGAATACACATGTTAGAAGGGTTATACTGCTGATCTTCAGACAGTTGGAGGAGATCAAAGAAGCAACTAAATCTAATAATGGCCCACTTCAGCTACTTGCAATATAAAATGACCAAATGTCTCACTAGGGTATGATTTAGGGAGCAATGTCTCGACACCTTTTACAATTGCACCTCGAAACAGCTACTTTTAGAGCACAAAAGAGGAGAGGCTACTCTCAGCGGAGTCCTAAATCTCACCCAGGAGTTGATTCAAGAAGTAATTATAGTTGATCCATTGTAGCTGAGGCCTGGCCTGACGTGAGTGATTAACACATGGGGAAAGGCCTTATTTTGTAGAAGATAGGATTAGGGAGGTAAATGAATTATTAGGATGAAAACAGGACATTTGTGCTAAATAAGGGAAGTACGTAGGTCAGTAGGCTAAAAAGACAGAATGTCTGAGCCAGCTAAGTAAAGAGAAAGAACACCCAGGGAATTATTTACTATGAACTAGATAACAAGGGACAAAATAAGTTAGGAATGAAGAGATAAAATAAAGAGGAAGTCGAAACATGGACAGCGCGTGGACAGAGCATGCGGTACAGCAATTCTGTACCAAGTAACCAAGCCAAGCCTAAAAAGTATAATGCGATGTATAGTAAACGCAATGAGATGTGTCACTGTATATAAAGAGAGAGCGTTTCTGTGTAACTTTGGAGCTATGATGTACCCTGCATCCCACCCCCCCCATCCCGCATTTGAGTCTGATCAACTCAGGGTCCCGTTGCTCTATGCTAAATAAAGATACCTGAGTGACGAATTCTGGAGTCAAACTGAGTTCTTGGGAAGACGAGTGGAAAGAGTTCTTGGAGGGAACCCCAACTTCCATTACATACTTGTAGCCACACTATAATTAAGTTCAACATCCTCAGAGGAGGGGCTGTGTCATAAACTAGCACTGCGACTTTAATCTTTAAAAGGGGAATTAAAAAAAATGGTGAAGAGGGGTAATCCAGAAAAGACCCTACACATGACTAAATTTAAATCCTTACACTCCGCAGGGAGGCTTCTGTAGCATAGGACAATAGAGTCTCTAGAGGTATGTGCTCCCCTAAACTAAAAAGGAAGCAAGAAGGTAATACAAAACAGAAGAGATTAAATCATCACTTGATGATTGCCTGTTTTGTTCATCCCCTCTGGGGCACCTGGCATTGGCCACTGTCGGAAGACAGGATACTGGGCTAGGTGGACCTTTGGCATGGCCGTTCTTATGTTTCTGATGTTTAAATGGCAAGATGCAAGAGATTAGGAAAAGCCAAACAGGTAACCTTCAAAAATGGAAATCCAGCCCAAGTGAAGCCAAGGGAAAGGAACAAACTCTGGTAGTAAAAATGTAAAATGGAAGTTAGGAGGGTGAGGAGGGGATTTGAAGAGCAAATAGCCAAAGACGTATAAACAAATAACAAGAAATATGTATACCAAAAGCAGGGAACCTGTAAGAGACTTGGGGGGTCTTTGAGGCAGCCAGGGAACAAAGGGATATGCCTAAGGTGGACAAGGATATTGCAGAGAAGCATAATTTTTGTTCATCAGCCTTCAACACAGAAGAAGATACCTAACTCAAACCTACACTTCTTAGCTAGTAAAATGTCAGAGATTGGTATCCTATTTACCCCCTCATGACTGAAGAACAAAGGGATATGTAGTAAAACTGAAAAGTGACACATTTAAAGCTGGTAAAAGTACAGCACACATTATTAATCATTGGAACTCATTGCCACAAGGTATCATAAAGGCCAAAAAATTAGTATGCTTAAAAAAAGGATTAAATGTTTATATAAACATCCACATCTATATCAGCTAGGAAAAAAATGTATACAGGCTATAAACCCTCCTGGTTCAGGGCAAGTTTGACTTCAGTGGGCTTTGGATCAAATCCAAAGGGCACAAACCAACCTCTCACTGAAGGAGGTGAGGAAGAAACTTGCCCTACCTTTCTCTAAAGCAGACGGTACGGTCCACTGTTGGAGACATGATATCTTCTACTTGGACCACCAGTCCCATCCGATAAATTAATGAGACAGTATGCATGTGTGAAGAGCCACCTTCCCGGATCCCATTGTAAAGTTGGAGTTAAATACATAGGGCCAAATACATCCTTGGTGTAACATCACTGAATTCACTTGATTTACACCAGGGATGAATCTGAGGTACATGGCATATCAGATGAAACAGCTGCAAGTAATAGTGAACTAAATCTACCCTTCATACTTATTAGCCGTAATGACTATTTTTCCCGAATATATTTTTAAAGCCATGCATTTGTGTCTGCAGATTTTTTCAATACATACTTTTTCCTTTTTAATTATACTTTAAAGGCAATCTCAGTGGTAAGATAACTGATTCAAGACCCGATTCTCATTTAGTAAACTCATTTAACAAACCATTGTCTCACTAATGCCTCTCTGAAGAGGAAACTCTCTGGCAATCATCTGTAGACAAAACACTGCTGTTCAGTTCCTGGGGTTGCTGATGGGGTTGGGAATCGTAACTGCTGCATAGAACGGTGAATCATCGAGTATCGAGTGCACCACGGTTGCAGGAATGTTTTCAGAGTTCTAAGGAACGCATAGCTGACAATGAATCTTGCAGGGAGGCACTTTTTCCAAAGAGCCTACCGTGCACTGATCCTTCTAAAATATACCTCTTTCTACCGTCCTGTTTAAGAGACCAATCCTGCAAATTTAAAAATTTTATTAAAGCCAATGTTAAACAAATTATATAATACACAGGTTAAGAAAAGCATAGTGCTTGAGTTAGCCACAGGTGACCAAAACATCCCTTAAACATAAATGACATTGCTTAGACTTTGCTTAACACAAATGAGCACCAAAGGGGCAATCGAAGAGACTTTGTGGCTGGGAACTCTTCTGTCCCCTGGGGTTTGGCCAGAAACCCAAAACCAAACCGCTTGCCTGAATTTAATTTGGGCTAAACCTCCTCGGTTTACTGCTAATAGGTCCGAGCACTAATTAGAACTCTGGGTGGCAGCATCAGCAGAGGAGCCAAGGAGTGGGTGAGCATGGAGTGTGAACAAGCCTTTCACATCCCTCCGGCCTACGGTCACAATATATTTCTGGTAGAGCTTCAACTGCTGCTTTCTGTTCTGGAGGTAAACAGAATCAATTTCCCAGGGCTCTCAACCCAGCCCATGTCATGAGCATTAAAGTGTTCCATTATACAACAATAAAACAGATCTCATCCCTTGGAAGAAGTGCTCAGCACCCGGGAGCTGCAAGCGCTCAGCAAGTCAATGCCTTGGAAAACCAGGCCGCTTTTTACTTAGGCATCTGAATGTGGACTTAGATGTCTCAGTGTAGGCCCCCAAGTTTGTATATTTTGGCCATTTTCCCCTGTATAACCCTGAGGAACGAGCTATGTGTGATGCTGGTAAGCCAAGTGTCAGCTGTGGTCAAGACCTAGGCGTCAGCTGAGAACTGACACACTCACAGCTGGAAATCAGGCCAATTCACTTGTGTATTAGTATAGATCAAAGTGACTGTTAAATGAAAAAGAGAGTATTTGGTGTTTAAACTTCAGGAAAACTAATGGGATGTTCACATATCTGTATCCTGTTATAATGGAATAGCAAACATTTACATTATTTATATCCCTGTAACTAAATAACCCATCAAATGAGAAAGAAGCCTTGTGTAATGCAAATAAAGAACTGTAACAGGAAAGTGCTAATTCTTGTCCATTTAAAGGCCAGTGGTTATTGTTTGTGATGATCCAAGATCAAAGACTCTAACTGCGCTCCATCATCGAAGAAAGACACCCCCCCCCACCCTTCATTTCTGGACTATTTAGATTCTAACAAGGAAGAATTAACCAAATGAGAAAACAGAGATCCCCAGAATTACTCTGATTAGCCCTAATGGCTTTTTGGAAACTGACAGATTACTACATCTCTGCTACCCCTTGAAATTATAGACTGTGACTCACCTGTACATATATTTGTACCTGCTTTAACATCTCAATAGCGCTCATTCCTTTGTCTGAGTTAATAAACCTTTAGTGAGTTTACTATAGAATTGGCTACCAGCATTGTTTTTGGTGTGAGACCCAGGATGCAAATTGACCTGGGTGAGTGACTGGTCTCTTGGGACTGGGTGCAACCAGAATATTTTGTGATTTTTTTTTTTTTTGTATAAGTGACCATTTTTCACATAGTCCAGCTTGTCTGGGTGGCAAGATAGACTGGAGTGTCTAAGGGAACAGTCTGCGACTCGAGGTGGTGGAATCTCCTTCCTTAGAGGTTTTTAAGGTTGGGCTTGACTAAGTCCTGGCTGGGATGATTTAGTTGGGGACTGGTCCTGCTTTGAGCAGGGGGTTGGACTAGACGACCTCCTGAGGTCCCTTCCAACCGTGATATTCTGTGATTCTATGCTTATAAGACTACTGTAGTACTTTGGGAGTTCACATTTGGTACTGTGTCAGTGAAATCTAACGATAGAACATACCACCAGCCTGGGGTGGGGGTGGGGGGTCTGCCCTGCTTTTGACAGTCTGTCCTGATGGAGGCACAGTCATAAAACATTCCAGACAGCGTGACACCATAAATTAAGGGACTTTCCAGGGTTAAAAATTAAAAGCTGTAGCATTTTAATTGGTAACCCTTGAAAATCCTTTACTGTACAGCTCTTCTCTCAGTGTTTGAGGGAAAATAAAACGAACCTAATCAGACGCCTAAACTGAGGCACCTAATCAGACACCTAAGGAAAAGCAGCCTGGTATTCAAAGGTATTGCCTTGCTGAGCACTTGCAGCTCCCAGTGAAATCAAGGGGAGCTATAGCTGCTGAGCACTTCGGGAAATCAGACCACTTTTACTTAGGTGCCTAACCATGGATTCAAGTGCCCAGCTTTATACAACTACCTTTGGAAACTGTTGGTCACACCTATGGAAGTGATGGCCTGTGATAGCACCCACAGATGTTAATTTTACCTTTGGAATGCCTCCTGCCGTTTCTGACAAGCGAGGGTAGGTGTATGAACTATACGAATGCCCTTGCTGATTTGATTTAAAAGCACTTGCTCCATATGGCACGACTGGTTCCTGCAGACCCGAACCTGATCTGGACCTCTGTCTCATGGCTGGCTGAGGACTTGTCTGGTTTACATATGATGACTTTGGTCTTTTGTCATAGTCATCCTTGTCTGGTCCATTTCCCCATTCACTGTCACTGTATTCCCGTCTCTCTTTTGAGCACTCACTCTGCACTGAAGTTCTAGATGGAGCATAGTGAAAGGATTCTCTGTAGTCTAGAGACGATCCACTAAGAATCCTTTGATATTCCAACTTTAGGCCACTGTACTCAATTGGTTTGCTTTTTGTTTCCATGTGTGTATGGTAATCTGGAAGAAACCTTGAGATGTCTGACTTTAGGGGCTTAATTTCTGAATAATAGGCGTCTCCGGGTTTTGTTTTCATCACGTGTCCATTCTGTTTTGGGGCGAAGCTACCTTGGCAGTATCTGTCTAACTCTTCCCCATAAAAACTCTTGTCTCTGTATTTTTCAGTGACATAGTCTGTCGTGGTGTCCGACTCACTGGAATACTGAGAATATGTGATATAACCATTTTCTTCCTGGTGGCTTTGTACATGGTTTGAGTTTCCTTGGTGTGGAGTGGGAGGACTTTCCTTCCGTAGGGAATTAGAGCGTGTCACTGAGATATTGTCAAATTCTTCTAGCAGGCCATTGATTGAAGTATCCTTTTGAGGTTTATTTCCTCTAACGATAGTCTGGGAACAGAAAATTGCTTTGATTAAATACAGTCTTCTATTTAATATTTGACTGATAAAACCTCTGAACAAAATGATCTAGCAAGCAATACATTCAGAGGTTATGTTCTATTCTCCTATCAGGTAGGTCATTTGAAGGAAAAAATATATTTTTACCAATAATTACTTTACTGCAGAATCATGCAGAGACAGAGACACAATTATCGGCTGAGATTACCAAAAGAAACTAGCGATTCTGGATGTTTCAATTTTGGGTGTCTAATTTAAGACACCTTAAAAAGGGTCGAATTTTCAGAAGCAGGATATTCAGCTCTCAAAAAATGGAGGCACCTCAAATTACTAGACACTTTTGAAAATCTTGGGACTATTATATTCATTACTATTTGCTGCTCATCTGCATCAGACAAGGCTAATAGTCTGAAGCTGGTGTACAGTATAAGGATAAGCTAAAAGAAAATCATTCCACAGTCTGCATTCACTTATACGTTTGACTGTGGAGAAGAGTCAGAATGGAAAGTAGTGGGCAATTTATTGGGCACTATTTTCTTTCAAAACAATATCTGTAAGTGTAATAGGACCACCCCGAGTAATTACACTGGAGTTCATCTTACATTAGACACCAGGGGGGAAATAAAAATAAAGTGTAAAACCTAAATACCTACCTCTTATGTGATGTAAAGAGGGGACATTCACAGCTTTCAGCGGGCCACCTGGCTCCAATAATATCTTTAATTAACCAAGTATCTTTTGAAGGGCTAAATCATGGCCCTGGGACATCCACAGTGTGGGAGCTGCATGGCCTGACCAGGCTGTGGTAACTTTTCCTATATCCTAAATGCTGCATAGTTATCCACCCTCTCTCCCTTCTGTTCCCATTTCTGCAGCCCTGTGGATGGAGTGACCTCCACAGCCCTCGCTGGGATAGACTGCATGAGCTCCCTCTCCCCAAACTGCTTCCTACCACTCAACACCTGCTCCCTACTAATTCCAACCCAGGATGATGGGCCTCATGACTGGCACGTAAGGGCACACATGAAGTCAGCCATGCTTGATTTCTGCGCTTATCTATCAGGGATTGAACTATTTTTTGACTCATTACACCTAACAGTGTAGCATTATATTATAGCAATGATAGTAATATTGATTAATCATCAACTCCTACTGCGAGGGTCAGAGAGAACCATTGTGTCGTGTGTACATTTCCTGTGAGAATGAGATGGACTGATCATGGGCCAGCTGGTGTGAATCAGTGTGGCTCTAAATGATGTCAAATTTGCTTTGGGGATTCATACCAGCTGAGTAGATGGGCCTCTATTTTTAACTTGTTGAGTTTGTAAACAGAACTTAGCCAGCCTAGGGAGATATCCTGTAGCAACACTTTTGTGTTATCATTCTGTGTCTTTTTGTGTGTGCCACAGAACACGGCTTCAAGGGGACTTCTGGTGCTTCATCCACCAGGGACACAGAGGGGAGGGGACTACTGGATCCCTGACTACGTGGGTGATCCCCACAAAGAGATGGCCCACAGAAGGGGTCACCGCAACTCTGAGACTGCAACAGCTGCTCTGGAGCCTTGGTGGGAAAGTCTCCTTCCCAACATCTGATCCCCACTGACTTCCTCAGTGTACAGCCTGGCTATTGAGGTTGTGCACTGGCTTTAAGTGTAGACCAGGCTTCAGATTTTGTGGAGCTGCTAGATAGTGGGTTTGATATACAGTCTGGGGCACTGAGCCCAATCCCTGTTTAATTCCAACACAGACTACGGAGGCTTTCCCAGAAGTGCACAACCCCCGACATCCTCGTACAGCTCAGGCTGAGTCATACGGACCAGTGCTGACTAGATACAGCAAGGAGGTATCTGTGAAAGACGGCTGTGATAGGAATTATCAGCAAAACCAAGCATTTGCTTTATAAAAACAAATACTTCTAGAGAAACCTGATGGCACTCATTGAATTGTGGAAGTTTAGTTAGTAGATGAAAGGAATGTAGCCATTGTGACGCTGTCTGAACTACAAATCGTGTGGTATGATACCACACAAAACCCAACTTAAAATATTCATTTAAGCTGGCCTAGATCACTGGCATAGGGACTGAAAACTGGCTGAAGGACAAAAACCAATGGGCATCTTATTGCCACTATCATCATTACTAGGGGATAAAGAGTATTATTGGTCGGCACAGGTTAACATTTTCAGAAGCACTTATTTCACTTAGGAGCCTCTCTCCCGTCAACTTTCATTAGGACACAGGTGCTTCTGAAAATTGAATAGCCAGTCACTACCCCCAGAGAGCTTATAATCTAGACAGACAACAAAAGAATGCTCTGGAAGTCGTGGAAGATGGTGCTCTGGGTAGAGCTATATTTTTCTTATCATCTATAGACATTGACAATGACAGATAGGTAAGATAGATATCAATAGATGAGATAGACACCTGGCATAGCTATATCTGTCTCACCTTGCACTAATCTGCAGAGTGCAATCAGCTCACAAGGAGAGAAGGGTGCACCCCATAAAGAGTTCAGTCATAAGCATGCTCCCCCTCTGTGCAGGGAGTTCAGGGAGGAATTACTCTGCCTGGCCCTGACAAGCTTGACCTAGCCCTCAGTAGTTACTCAAGGGCCTACTGCGCCATCATTAACCATGATGAGCAATACCTCACTCCATGAGGGCAACACTCAGCGCATTGTACACAGCAATCTGTCGGAGGTAAGATGACTACTAGGGTAAGATGGACAAGATGACTACTAGGCTCTTCCATTTCTAATTTCTAAGGGTCTGATTCTGTCATCCTTGCTCACATTAGGTAGGCCCTTATTCTGTTAGCAGCCCCATTGATCTGAGGCACACACAAGCAGATACTGCAATTTTTTGTCTTTCCAGATTAGTTTCTTAGTTACAAAGTACGGTGCTACTCAATATGAGTATGGGTGGCAAAATCTGGCCCTAAGATTTCTTACTCACAATGAAATGCACCTTACTCCTTGAGTAGTTCCACTAAGATCGGTAGGGTGGCAAGGGGACATTCAATGATGTTCAACACACAGTCAACCTGTGGAACTCATTGCCAAGCGATATTGCGAAGAACTGGGTTCAAAAAATAATTAGATAAGTTCATGGAGAATAGATCCACCAATGGCTATTAGTCAAGATGGTCAGGGATGCAACCCCATGCCCCGGGTGTCCCAAAGTCTCTGACTGCCAGATGCTGGGACTGGATGACAGGGGATGGATTACTTGATAATTGCCCTGTTCTGTTAATTCTTTTTGAAGCATCTGGCATTGGCCCTGGCCGGAAGACAGGATCTGGGGCTAGATGGACCATTGGTCTGACCCAGTATGGCCATTCTTATGTTTTTATGTAAGGACGTTGAAAGGTGGCATATTCAAAAATGATAAAAGGAAATGAATTTTTACACAATATGGAATGAGACAGTGGAACTCATTGCCACAGGATGTTGTTGAGGTGAAGAACTCTAAGAGGGATTGAACACATATATGGATAACAAGAATAGCCAGAATTATAAGAGAAATGCTAAAAAATTTTTGGAAGGGATATAAAACCTTATACTTCTGACCTTAAGCCAGTCTCTAACTACAAGGGGTTAGGATGAGACCTATATAGGGGGCAGATTATCCCACGTCTAACGACTGTGGGGTTTCTTACACCTTGTTTTTGAAGAGCTGGTGCTGGCCACTGCCAGAGTGAGGACTGATGAACCTCAGGTCTGATCCATTTTCTATGTTGCTATGATTACATGAGGAGCATGGTGCTATTCAATGGAAGGGTAGTGTAAGGGTAGCAAGATCTGGACTTATTTATTACGCTGTCAAATTCATGCTCAAAATCCATTCTGTAAAGCTGACGAATGCAATACAAGAATAGCAAGGCAAGCAGCTTTAACTGTGCCTGTGCTGGGAATATGGAACAATAGCCATTTCTACTGCGTTGGGCAACACTGAAAACAGTGGAGACCTTCAGAAAAACGTTTCGGGATCAGAAAACAAGCTACAAGACAAACACTATAGCAATGTGTTGATTAAAAAGGGGCTAGAGTACCAGCAAATTATCTGGGAAGACTATGAACTGTAGTATCTGCTGACATCTAGGTAAACACTATTCTATTCACTCTGCTTCAGTCTTCCAGCATATAGTTTGGAGTAGACAGAGCATGCACTATTCAGACAGGGAACTGGTTGTCAGAATAAGAACCTAAAGAGCAAATTAAATAGTGTGTTGTGTACTTGGTGTAATGCATCAGTTTGTAGCTTGATCAGTTGTAACACCTGGATACTAATTTTCCGGCAAAACATAAACCAGAACTAGTCACGATATAACTCCTAATATCCCATTTACATTGTTGGCAGATGAATCTGTGAATTCTGAATTATCTATCAATCACTCAAAGCAAAGATCTATGTGTTGCCCATATTTATCGTGCTGATAACTTAAAGACATGACAGCAAAAGCAAGGTTCAGAAATCTAGCAACATTTTATATACTTGTATATTTTTGAGTAGAGCGTGCCCAGGTAACTTGTCATACCTTAGAGTGTGTACGTGTAATTATGAAGCATTTTTGTGTGGTTATTGTATATAACAATATGAAATAAAAAATGATGTTAAAAGAATATTAAGGTTGCAACATTAAGTGCTTAAAAGTTTGGAAATGCCAGAATTAAGGTTGGCTGTGTATGGGTGAGTCTGTGCAGTACCAATGTGCACGCTTCCATTTTGATATTTGTACTCAATCCTGAAGTCTTTGCTCATGTTTTCCCTCAAGCAAAGCTCCCGCTGTAGTCGGAGGGAGATGTGACTAAGTAAGGCCCTTTCTTGCCTTTCTTCCTCTTTTTGCTTCAACTGCCTTTTTGCTGAATCTCCACAAAATCAACAGCAATTTGCTTCTATGTTATTCAGAAAAGGCCACCTCTGTAAAGCTGGGCTAAATGCAAAGCAATCATGACCTTGCATAGATCCCTGCTCTGATTTATGCCCATAAT